ATCTTTCCAAAATTTAGAAACAAGTCTCTATGCTAACATTTACCAACACTTGACAACGGAAGCCATGATAGTTTAGATTTTGACAGTTCTGTTTCATCAATTTATAGAACGTTTTTCTATATGAATAATATTGATATTAAAAGATATTAAAATGAAGCGCAATAGTCCAAATATTACGATTTACCACCTGATGTAAGGATAATTGTGATAGTATAAGTCAAAAAGTATTTATTGCATTTTTATTTACCGTTCTGTGTCGAATTACCGCTCAAAGGAAGTGTTGCTCGCATCAAAGAGTTCATGCATGATTTATTTTTTTTAATATTATCAAATCCCGTAAATGACACCTCATTTGTAATTTGATATGAATTAATCGTACTCCGCAGTTGTTTAAATTGAAAAATTAAAGATTTGTATTTAAAATTAACACTTTGCTGATTGATATTAGCATAAGGTCAAGGACATACCAGATATTCGGACACGAAAGCAACCTACGAACATTGTTTACATTTATACAACGGCGAAATGTGTTATTACTGAAAGGAATACGACATAATTGTATGTAAGGTGATGTAAATGAAACCTTTGCATATCGATACAATGTTCCGCTAAAGTTTGACAGTTTAACGATTATTCGCATCACTCGTCTAAAGACATGAAGGGTCATTTTCAAAATTGAAAAAGAAAATGGCGGATCCCAACCTCGTAGAAATCTCACACTACAAGGAAGTATGAAAGCAACTCGAAAATCTAAGACTCAACTACTGTACTACATAGATCAGTGTATAAATAGAGAGATAATAGCTGCCCCCAAGTTTTATCGTTTTGTCTGTAGGTGTAACCGCGATTGGGCAAGAAGGTGATGAAACTGAAATTTTCGTTTACGTGATAACACGCGGATGTACGAATTAAAGGGGTACTGACAGTGAAATAGTGTATTGCGAGTAATAGAGTTTAATTTGGAAGTTTGTATCCAGGGGCCACTATTCTGTGTTGGGAAATAATATCTTCAACCTTGTTGGTGTTGAGACTACTATGCAACAAGATGGTGTCACTTTACCTTGCCCTTAAAATAAATCCCAAATATTGTCTGTAGGATGAAATTTCTTCTGACTCTCAACCACTCTACCTTAGGCCCAATCCCAATAAATTAAAAGCTCAGATACAATATGTGAAATTCTTTCGCGCCTACGGCCCTCGATTCCATTATGTCATCAGGCATCCACTCTTCTGTCTTATACTATCTCATCACTATCATATTCACGGTTACAGTGAATCGCTCATGCAGTTAGTAGTGTCACTAGTAAGATGGTCGTGAGGCGACAGACTGACTGTACAAATGTTATGTCAACTCTCACAAAACAGGCGGAATTGACAGACAGGCCTCGAGATTGAGATTCTGTCCCTTTCTTATCCTCTTGTTCACGAGAATTAAAAAGCTCAGTTACATATTATACGTTGCTATCTGTAATTTGTTCGAGCCTACGGCGCTCGATTCTATTATGACATTATTCTTCCATTCCTCTATGGTCTTATACTATCTCAGCACTATCATATTCACCGATATAGTGCACCGCCTAGTTAGTAGTACCACAAGTGTGTGGGTCGTGGGGAAACAGATTGTTCAAATGTCTTGTCAACTCTTACAAAACAGGCGAAATTGACAGGCAGATCTCGAGATTCTGTCCCATTGACTCCCATTTCTGGTCCACTCGTTCACAAGAATTTGCACCCAGCAATGACCTAAAATGCCAGGATATTGACTCAATTTTTCAAAAGATCCCCACCCCACCCCTTCAGGTTGGTCAGAGTTAAGGATCATAAGGATCACAAAATGTCTGACGACAAACATGATGCTGGGTTTGCGTTTCATATATTTTTAAAGATGGAATTTTGTTTGGTCGTCTTGGGGTTCGAAGGTCACTGATTATACTGCGCCGGTCATGGTTAAAATTAGAAACCACCGAAGGGAATGATATACCGGATACCACATTTATCATAAGGTGTGATATAATTTGTAACGACAAGATTATATTACACAACACACGCTGATTTCATCCACACTGTCAATCATTCCATTCATCAATGGAATTTTAAAAGTAATATGTGAATTAACTACCACTCGTCCTGAAAAGTTCGCGAATAATCGTAAAATCCGGATTTTAACCTTAGATGCATCATGTCAATTGCAAAATAAAGGCTTTTGTTTGAGCATTTCGTACTAAAAAACAACTAACAAGTTAAATTCAATTGATTCTTTCTACATGATTGAATATTAGAGGATTGCTGAATGTCAGTGGGGGTTTTGGGGTTTTTTTTTTCCTTTCTGTATTTCTTTTTACAAACACAGAATTAGACACATGTTCCTTCAAGCCGAATGAAAGCGAATATAATTCGGCAAACTTTTCTTGAGAAATAGCTCTGATACAGAAACTGCTAGATGGTTAGACCTGGGATCTTATGGCGAAAATAAATGGCCGTTTGTGACGTGACAAAACCAACATGCGCAACAGAGGAGCATCGAGACATGTAAACACGCCTACTCATATATCTGATCTACGACAACATCCGATTCCTGCTCATTACTGTGTCTTAAATATAAATCATAAGTAGTCACTAACAAACAGTCCCTACAGACTGACCTCCACCACTAGAATCGACCATCTTTGATGATCACATGTTAACGGGAAGTGTGTAAGCAAACCTGTATTACCATACAACATAGATTATTGTTGTTGACGTTTTATAATAACGGTCAGTTGTCATCTGACATCTGAGTTAATAATGCTAAAGATCATATAAGGATTAGTGCTCTTTGGGGAATTTTCCTTATGTTAAAGTCACGAATTTCAGTTTTTAAAAACGTGTCTTTGCTTACAAAATACATTTAATTGGCTCTAAAATGCTATATTAGTCCATTTAAATGAAGCCATCATAAGGTTGAAAAAAGTATTCTTTCTTTGATGTTAAAACAAACAACGTATATTAATTGTGGATCGCCATGGTATATCGTTAGGACGTCAACAGATGATTATAATAGAAAACAAAAGGTATGATGAAAGTACTGAAAATACTATTAGACCAATACAACTACATTGTAATATATATGGTCTTGAAGTCTATAATTACCGTTTGATGGAATGTAAATCCATGAAACAATACGAAAAGTTCCGTAAATTAGTTTACATTGATATTCATTTACGCAGGATTAATAATCAATGCTCTCTTTCCTGTGATATTTTCAGTGATGGGAGGGGCACCATTGTCCCCTTTTGTCCTTCATAAAATGCCGCATTCTCGATTGGTGCTCGCCCCCAACCTCCCCAAGTTACCCCTATATGCCCACTCGCAACACATAAGTATTCCGAATCTGGGCGTCACTGAAATCGCTTTATGGGTATGTTATTTGGTCGTGTTGGATGTTAAGTTTCCTATTTATCTTGCTGGCGTTTCAGCCACATGAACAAACATCATGCGGCTGAACCGCCAGCATGACATGGACGTCTTGAATTTTCCAAATTACTTTTGTTTGTTGATATACGTAGTGTGCATCATTATTTGTTTGCAATGTGTGTTAAACAAAATGTAATGATGTCGACGAGCAGCTCATCGTGTGGGTTTACAGGTGCTGTCGTATTAATGCCTTGTTAATATTAATATATTCGGCCTTAATGAAGATTTAATCGAACAAAACTTGCACTCCCGGACACGTTACATAAGATAAATCCCATAATAGAAAGAAAGTGGTACAAGGTGTTCTTAAAAAGGTGGGTACTGGGTGAAAATAACTAACAGTACTGATTCGACTGTAATAATGTAAAGTTTGTTATGTCTGTGGTTTGGTATGCAGTTATCAAGCATTCTTTTGTTTTAAATGCCTATCTATAGCAAATATTGTAATGTTGGCGGAAGACAGCAAGTAAAATCAAAACTATAATACATCGAATATCTCAAAGCAAATAATTCTCTATTAAACAGACATTATGTAAGAGCTAAATCTGCCTATTGCATATTTTAAATTTATGCCTTAAATGTTATATAAATTATTAATTAGTCATTTATTAACATGACAAGACCATAATCAACACTCGATGCGATTGGATGGCTCCGATTAGAACAGTTCTGCCAATTAATGCTTTACTGTAAAAATGGAGAAGCGAGGCTAAGACTGGAATGACCGTTAGTACGGTGGTTACGATCATTGCACACATCTTGTCAAAATTACAACCATTGATAACTTCGCAAAGAATATTTTCAATATATTCCTTTTGCATTATCTAATTCAGCTCTTTATCTAAATCTTACATAATGCCCATTTAATTATAAAAAGTAGCATTTTTTATTATAAGCGAAATGCAATATTCTAACTATCTTTATCTTAGAAAACTGCAATTCCAGCATAAAATGTATAACATCTAATATTATAAGAAAAACAGATTAATAAAGATATCGAAAAATTGAGAGGGTGTGTACCAAGGCACAGTATGGCTTAAAACATATCATACAAGTTCTTATAATTCTATTAAAATAGGTTAAGTGTTTTTAAGTTAACGAACACTTATCGCTTTACTGATTTTGTTTGGATGGATTTTTTCAGATTAATTTATACCTAAAAAAAAGTAAATCTAAATGCATCTAACATTATCAAAGTACCCAAGCGCATTCATATCAGATGTTGAGAGTATTGCGAGTTGTTTTGTTTTTGTTTCTTGGGTTGGTTTTTTTTTCAAACACAAGATTTATTAAATATTTGCTTCATGTAATATTTTTCTGAGCTGAGCGCTAGAATCTGGTCTAAGTATCAGAATTTATGTAAATACTGTTCGGAGAATGGTAACAGAAGTTGTGGGTGTTTAAAATAAATGACATTTCATGAGCAATGTCTCGGTGGCAGCGTCTAGGCAAGACGCGCGATGTCCATATGTCTATGACAAATGTCTAAACTACTAAGTGTGTCTAAACTGATTTAAACTTTCATTAATACATTGTAAATTACTTACCATATCAAAAAGCTGTATCAAAGCCATTCCAAATTTGACCAGAACACTTTTAGAAGCATTAAATATCGGTCTGGACAAAATGTCATAATTTTTAGAAAGCGTAGAAACTAACTTTTGTTCATCTGGGATGGGTCTGTTTTCCAACGGATCTATATGTTGGGTAAAAAAGAAAAAAAAGAATAGCGTAATGAAATATATAAATTACTCACCATATCTGAAATCTGAGTTAAAGTTATTCCAAATTTGACAGTTACAGTATGAGACGCATTATAAACTGGGCGGGACGCTGAATTATAATCCCCTAATATTGTATCCATTAATCGCTGTTCATCCGTCGGTTTATTCTGTACTAAATTCACAAATATGATGCCAAAAAATATTGAATAGAGTATAATATTCCTCGAACACATAATCGAAAGTTAGCACCCTTTTGAAAACTCATGAAACAAGCATCGGACACATTGAAAAGACCATCATATTAATTTTCACATGTGTTTTTGAAGTTTATGCTCCCAGATCGCACTTCATAATCAATAGTGTTCAGGGTTGTAGTACTATAGTTATAGCAATATCATTAACGGTTATCATAGCTAGCCGCTCAACCCATTGCCAATACTGTAAGACAACTCTTTCATGCTACCACAACTCCAATGATAATGAACAGTAGCCAATATACAAGCAAACGCCACGCGCATTGAAAAAGAAAATTATTGTCTATGAGAAAGGTATTAGCCTTATCTCGAATGAATATCTTATTACGGTGATAGTTCAATGACGGGGTGGATATTAATTGGTCGTCGTTATATTTTATTGAATGTGACAGAGGGGCGGGTTACGAATATAATAGTTGTAATGAAAATGACTAATACAATCGTTGACATCGATCTTATAGCGCTTAAGCTGTGTCATTTGTTTAATTATTATCTTTAACAAAACCATCTCATGGTATTTCCATCAATACAGAAACACAATGATTATTTAAATGGCAATAGATTACAACTCAAATAAGACAGATTTAAATCTCTCTTTATCCTCATCCATATTCATCTATTCATACACTTTCACGCTAATATTTATTTCTAGATTTCTATCTTTCCTGGCATATGTTAATTATATGATGTAGGGTTGAAATGGCCTATATTTGTTGTGAAATGGATCAGTGGGATATGTAAATCACAACAGAAAGTAACCAATAGTGCAAACTATTATAAGATTTGTACATGTTTCAATTATTTTATCAAATTTTAAATATATTTTGGATGACACTGTTTATTCTATTAAACTATTTTAGTTTGTACTATTTAAGGCTACTTTGTGGTACATGATATGTTATATTATTTGTAGAAAATATTTTCACGTTTATTTGGCAATCTTTATATAGATGATTTCTTTTCACATTATCCCAAAACAATTATTCTGATACCCCACGGCCTACATAGGGTCCATTAAATTTAAAAAAATATGCCTAAGCTTATGGAAGTCCATTACTACGTTTCCCGAATTACATAGAAATAGCCTGTCACTTTTGCCCTGTTCACTGACCATCAACTCGATGTGCATCTAGTATCACCGGAAGTAACCAGTTCGCATACAGAGAGTAGTTCTCTTTACAATAGGGGGTGGGGGATGACCGAATGGTTAGCGAGTGCGCGCTGTATCATAAGGTCTGTCACTGAGTTAACTGCCGTGGTTTCGATTCTCCGGATGTACGTGACAAGGAGCAGGGTCGCCTGTCCAACCTCGTGGGGTTTCTCCGGGTCCTCCGGTTTCCATCCACTGCTAAAGACCCCTACGCGCAAGCGAATTATTGAAATAAAATTGAACCATATAATGGTCCCGAAATGACATATTTTGTGTTAAACCCCATTTCTCTCTCTGTTTTTCACAATGATTTGTGCATTGAATATTTGATCAGCTATTTTCTACCTTCTTCATTATCCCGGTTGGTAAAGAAAAGTAGGTTTTTTAACTCAGTTTCATTCCATATATTTGTTGAATTCGAACAGCTGGGACAGAAATTTGTGAGTTCGGATTATATGAAACTTACAGAGAGGGATGATTTTAGAAATGAAAGTAGATCCATACATTCCAAGTCGCTAAAGTGGACAACACTTACAGCAAGCCCAAGCAGGGGTCGACGGTAAAACGCCACAACAAAGGTGGCAGACGAAAAGAAATTTCGCAAGGCTATTCTGTCGTGTTGAGTTGTTGTGCACGTTTTTCTTTAATTATTTCATAGAAATAAAGAATTTCCTTAGCAATAGTATTATGCCTTGCGAGTGTTCTGAATAGTCATATAAGTGACATTATTTAAAACAGGGTCTACTTTATAGATTCTAATATTAGTTCATCAAGCTATGTAAACATTACTTGGCATTTGTTGGTGTCCTTGAAGGTTTCTTTTATTACTTGTCGGACCCTATTTGATATGATTTATGTACGCCATGGTGATAAAATATGACACTAAGTCATGTCAATGGCACTGAAATCTTCCATCTGTGTATGCCATTATCGATAATGTCACCAATAATTTATACAAATTGACAATTGCTCTTAAGCCGCCATCCTGTTACCCATGCATACAATTATATTGCGTGTAAATGCTAGTATGTTCTTACAGAATAGATGTACTTTTATTGACCAGACTGGAAATTAAACCCAATCAGAAATTCACGAGACCGTTTTCCATTTTCGTGAACTTGCTGAATCATAAGATGTATTTTTTTTTTCATATATGGCGCCTTAAATGTTTAGATTTTATATTCTATTTTGCCCATATGAGCCAGTGACTGAATCTTGATTTAAAAAGGAACGGTCACCAACTAAACTGTTATAACACAGTCATAGTCATAGGGGAGGGGATGGGGGGTGTATCATTTTTGCCCAACAAATACGGCGGCGGCGCCCGTAACTTTACCAGATAGCGCCCGATCAACAATCAGCGATATTCAACAGATCTAAAATGCTTACATTGTCTGATCTCATAGTGTATTATTCATCATCATACCTAATTAAAAATTATCGTGTACATGTATATAGACACCAGTCTATTGAAATTAAACATGTAACAAAAATCTGAATGGTATGGTGGCCGATTGGTAGCATGTCGTGACGTCGTGGTGTCGCCCTTCATAAGGCGACAACCCGACATCACGACATTTTAACCCGACACCACGACAACCCGACAACACGACATTACGACATCACGACAACCCGACATCACAACACTACTACATTTTAACCCGACAATACGACATTTTTACGCGACATTACGATATTTTTACGCGACATTACGACATATTTATGTCTATTTATGTCGTGGTGTCGGGTGAAAATGTCGTATTGTCGGGTTATAATGTCATGAAGTCGGGTTGTCGGGTTGTTGTATCGGGTTAAAATGTCGTGATGTCGGGTATGATACCAATCAGCCACCATAGAATCGAAATCGGTCTATGTACAAAATAGTAATCTGGCTGGATGTGACGAGAGATTTTTGTTGAAGGGCCACGCGTTATGCAGTTCATAATCAAATTCCACACCGGTCAAAACAATGAATCAGCTAATGGGAAAGGCCTTAGTCATAGCCGCAAGTTTAAAATCACAAAATATCCGTAGTAAAATCTGAAAAATAACGGCAGGTAGCGCCTAGCGGGGCGAATTTTCTGGAAGTGCAGCTTTAATTTGAAAACTAGACACCCTGAATCAAAATCAGAATTGTGTGCTTTTCTGAAACTCCGGCTGGGAATTGCATCACCCCACACAACGGTCAGTAACATTCCCGGATTTCGGGAGCTTTATTTTGCTGGCAGCCTCCTCCTTATAAGTCTATGACACATCAACCAAAAAAATCCAAAATAAATATGAATCCATGAAAATAAGGGCGATATTTTGGAAATTTATCGAAGGATATAAATGACAGTATTTAAAACTCCACCATTTCATTCCATAACGATACCATTACATAAGTCGATATTTTTTTCTGCAACTGGCGGAATACTTATAATAAATGGACACCGAACTGAAATAAATATAACTTTCCAATTAAATGCACATAACCACATAAATATTTATACTGATAAAAAGCGTTTATGGTTCTATAAATAGCAGTAAACATTCTTTAAGTTGTCCATACGTATATTAAGAACCATCAATTGTGGGTTCAACATGTTAACCTTATCAGCGTTACACGGATTTTTCATCTCTTAAAAATACATTCATTTTCATTAATGAGGACTGATAGTCGACATAATTAGATATCTGATCGTCATATGACCTACAAGTAAGTTAATAAGTATCTAGATTCTTATATCATCGCCCATACATAACATCTCTGTTCTGCCATTACATCATCATCTTTTCGTGTACCAAGATAGTCAACATGTTGGACCTTCGTATCCTAGTCAAGAAGTAGCATTCCACTTGAGCGGCTTTGGATTATTAATTTTAGGTTACATTAATAAGTTCGATAGATAATAAATTTCGTTTAGAAATAACTATCGCGCCGGTAAAGGGTCATTTCACCAGTCACGCGAAACCCGCATGAGTTCCAAATGACAACAACTAATAAAAGGTGGAATAATAAGATTTTAAGAAATAAAATGCATGCCGATTTATTATTTAGAATCTTGACCTAAAGCATTGGTTAGTTCGATTAGGTTAGAAATCTACCCATAACTGGACACTACATACTCCAAAGATTAGTTTGAAGTTGGGAATTCATATAAACTCTTCTGTGCCCTCGTGTGTCCCTCGGCTACTCGATCAGCTTTAACGAAGTAGTGGTAGGTCAAGAAATGCAAGTCTATTGCTTCTCATTAATCAGCGTAAATTAGTAGCATGTTAATTGGCCTCGAACGACCTTTCTGTTCTAGATGAAGAAATCTGTTTCTGTATCTACACTAACATGGCTGTCAGTGTCTTCCCTGGATTAATTACATTACTCCAAAAACAAATAATTAAAAGAGTCAAGTGGAGTTGTCTTGCTTGTGGTTGTATTATTAACAACAAAGAAAGGACAGTCAGTATAGAATTGTTTAGAATGGAAAGGGGATTTTTGAAGAATTTTAACCGGATTCTTGGAATCAAAACTGCAAGTGTTCTTTCACGTGCATACTGGTATGTTGTTCTTGTTTTTCGCGCCATCCGAACG